TATATAGATATCTCCAGACTGCATACTAACATTCCTATCTTGCAGGCTGTGTTTCAAATGCCAACTGAGAATGATGATACTAACAGGAGTGTAGCTTACGCATTACAGAGAGTTTTCTATGAACTCATGCACAGGTTTGTGGTTGTACTGGTCTGCCAGCATGTACAATATTTACATGTATTTCTTGTGTAAAGAATGTCTATGATGGATAAGATTGTTTAGTATTTTTAGTACRTTAATATCTTGAATTTTGTTAATAGTGACAAAGCTGTTGGAACAAAAAAGTTAACAAAGTCATTTGGGTAAGAAAGAAATTATTACCTATTCAATATCAATGTGAGAGAATGCTGATAAACTTGACATAATTAGAACCTTTTATGTTTTCACTATCTTTAAAATCAATGTTTTTGAGTGCAACACATAGCCTCAAGTCCATATTTACTGATAAACTTGTCAATGATTTTGTTGTGACTATTTCCTTAGGTGGGAAACATTGGATAGCTTTATGCAGCATGATGTTCAAGAACTGTGTCGTGTGGTAAGTAAAGAACTGTTTATAAAGTGATGCTATCCTGTCTTTATGTTGTCAGTAATTTATACTCCTTTTCATACAGCTTCTYGACAACATGGAGAGTAAAATGAAAGGAACATGTGTTGAGGTGGGAGTTAACCTTATTATTGTTAGTGTCATCATTCAGTCAAAGTAATATTACTGAAATRAAAGTAATATTATTGAAGCAAAAATAGTCCTCTGTGGATGTTTGCATAAATGCATTAATTAATGTCAAAACTTTGTTGGATTGATTATCTAAATGTGATTAAGTGAAACATTCACATGTCTATTTTTGTCATGTTTTTTCTGTCCTAACTGTCATTGTTTCTCTTGCAGGGAATAATACCAGAGCTTTTGGAAGGCAAAATATTTGTAAGCCATTTATTAATATTCCAACATTGATTTTTATTGATTTTATAATTAACCATGTATATTTATGCTCAATTTCAGTCTTACATCAAATGTACCAAAGTTGATTATGTGTCAACAAGGTGAGCTTAATATCTGATGGTCTTTTTCATAAGATCAAGGATGATATATGAAAGATTACTAAAATAGAAATGGTTTGACATACTGTTGAATTGATATAAAGTGTAATGACCTGTACCTATTTCYTCTCTTAGATCAGAACCATTTTATGATATACAACTCAATGTAAAGGGCAAGAAAAACAGTAAGTATTAACAAGGTTTTCTTCTTTCAAAATCATCAAACAATCCTTCAAATCTCTTGTACCTTGTTCCTCAGTCTATGAATCATTCAAAGAATACATAAAAATCTCTTCTACCTTGTTCCTCAGTCTATGAATCATTCAAAGAATACATAGAAGTTGAGCTTCTTAGTGGTGATAATAAATATGATGCTGGAGAACATGGACTACAAGAGGCCAAGAAGGGGGTCATTTTTAAGAAGTTCCCTCCAGTGTTACATCTSCAGTTGATGAGATTCCAGTATGACCCTCAAACTGATGCCAATATCAAAATCAATGATAGGTAAGTACTGGGATCCCTGTTTCTATCTACACAGGAAGCCCATTTTTATCTAATCAAATAATCATACTTTTATTGTTACTGTTACTGATATATTTTTTAGTCATCTTGAATGACATTATTATCATTTTTAATACATTTTTAATTATTTTTAGATATGAATTTTATGAGAAAATTGACCTGGATGAGTATCTACAAGAACCTGAGGATTCACCAGCAACATATACTCTACATGCTGTGCTGGTACACAGTGGTAATTATAGATACTTTTAGATGGTTTTAGTTAGTGTTTATTGATGTRAAATATTGTTATTTACAGGAGATAACCATGGTGGTCATTATGTAGTGTACATCAATCCCAAAGGAGACGGTCGGGTATGTTAATCCTAACACTATGCATGTCTTATGAATGTGAATACACTATGCCAATGATTGTACTGTAATCAAGATCTTTTCATACTATTCAGAAGTTAACACWTTTTCCTGTTATTTCTAGTGGTGTAAATTTGACGATGATGTYGTRTCAYTGGTGAGTGTTTTTRMAGTACTTATTATATTATATACATGRTATYATATAAGCAGATTGTTTATCAATTTTTTATTTTTTTTCTTAACAGGCGACTAAACATGAAGCTATCAATAATAATTATGGAGGTTACGAGGTATGCATTCAGAGGAATTGTATTTCATTCAGTGACTGTCTTAATAATATTTGAAAACCTTGTTGCCTTACAGGATGATATTGTTGTTAAGCACTGTACAAATGCCTATATGTTGGTATACATAAGAGATTGTGATATGAGTAAGTACATGGCTGCCTGTTTGACACTATTAATGATGTTGCCTGTACTAATTAAGTGTATTTTTTAGAGAAAATTTTAAATCCTGTAAAAGAGGAAGACATTCCAGATTCACTTGTTCAAAGGTTACAAGAAGAAAAGTAAGTAAATTTGTACTTTGATATGGAAAGGAGAATCTGATATCAAAGTGAAAGTGGGCATTATAACTGCAGGCTTTGCGTAAAATCATTTTTGTATATACAGGAGACTGGAACTGCAAAGGAGAAAAGAAAGGACTGAAGCCCATCTGTACATAAATGTTGAGGTTAGTAAACTAGGTAATGTTATTTTCTTGCTCATAAGATAGGTTTTTAAGTTATCAATTGTTATTATAGGTCATTACTGAGGATCAGTTTTGTGGCCACCAAGGACCTGATTTATTTGACTTTGAGAAAATTAGATCCAAGTAAGTGAACTCCATTATTTTGTGGGTTTGACATTTTTTAGTTCTTGTTACATGGGCTTCCAAAGGAAGACCATGTCTTAAATTACCGACGTTTTTCGTCTGTGGTATGCTTCAAATTATATCCGGGACCTTTTCATTTTTGACATCTATTGTCTTTCTGTCATTCATGCTTCTAAGCAACGATTCAAACGTCGCCTCGTGCTTCTTCGGACCTTCGTATAGCCGGCAAAGTTTTATTAAGATCGAACATGTCGAACGCTAGATTCTTTTACAAATCCACACACCATTCGCGGCATAGCCACACTAAAAAAATTCGAGTGTTTCTCAAAAGGGCATTTGGAGAGATACGGCGAATTTATCATGAATCTACCGATCGTGAATTAATATCTATCAACATTAGCTTATCAAAAGCTAACTTATACTAGTACAGTCTCTACAATTACCAAGGACTTATCTAAGACATGTCAACAGATTTATACTGAGGAAAAACAGAGGATTGGAAGTATTTTAAGCGAAGAACATGAAAGACTCTATCGATCTGTGTTTAATACAGCCAAGGATGCGACTCTTCGGCTCGTCAGACATAAATTACTTCTTTCACAATATTATTAAATTCTTCTAAGTACATTGCTTGTTTGATTATTTTTCATTAAAGGAAATCTTTTTTTGCTGTTGTCTTAGTAATATTAATTTCATTAGGGTTCAATATCATTTACTGATTGGGATAAACCACAGGAAGCCCATGTAAACGATCACTGATCATCTAGTTTGAGTCTACATTTTAAGGAGAAAATCTCTGTTTTATTTTAGATTATTCAAAGTGTTAAAGTCATTAAAGATACATGAAGTTCTTCAAGTCATTGCCGATGGTTTAGTAAGTTGAATTTAGTTAATGAACATTTTGATTTAAAGGAAAAGTGAATCAATCTGTTGGGCTACCTGTTTTAAAGATGCCACAGGAAGTCCATTAGATCTATTCAATCAAAGCTTATTTATATTTTCTNGAATATTATAATTTATTTAAATTGGTTAACTTTATAGTCAGGTTAATACACTGATGATGGACGATGGATGTCGTCCGAAATATTTGTATTAAGAAACTTCTTGTTATTCTCTTTGTCTAGTTAATAAACATTTTGATTTAAAGGAAAAGTGAATCAATCTGTTGGGCTACCTGTGTTAAAGATGCCACAGGAAGTCCATTAGATCTATTCAATCAAAGCTTATTTATATTTTCTGTTGAAGGGTTATCCTGTTGACCAGATTAGACCCTGGCCATTGCAACAACGGAGTAATGGTACAACAAGACCTTCAATTATTGATTTAGAGGGATGTATGGAGAAAACCGTAAGTTATCTTTAATAATAAATATTATAGATTCTTTCTTAGGTTAACTGYCATAATTATTATTTAGGTTGGCAGTGCTGTAGAAGCCTCTTCCTGGGTATTATTTATAGAAACGGTTGACCCAGGTAAATTACAATGRACTTTCTTTGAAGTAACATTTCTTTAATATTGCTATTTTATATTGCATGCTTYAGAGAATGGTCATATTGCACTACCAAGCTACAATAAACGAAGTGAGTACTCATACAGTAAATGCTAATTCAACATACATAAAATGCTATAAAAGAAAATGTTCAATTTAGTTCAATTTGTGGTTTGGTAGCAATAATGTTGTTCTATTCTAGCAGATGTCCTACTGTTTTTCAAGTATTTTGATCCCATTCAAAAAACAATATCCTCTGTTGGCCACTTGTATTTACCTTTCACTACTAAATTTAGTAAGTACTTACTGCTCTTATGCCTTTCAATCATCTCACAACAAAATTAAACAATAATTTGTTATGATTTTTGATGATATAATTCTTTATTTAAATAGCTGACATGTTACCCTATTTGTGCCAACAAGCTGGTCTGCCATTAGATACTCCTCTAAAGCTGTTTGAGGTATGCTTGCACATTCTATGTGTGTTTTAATGCTTTTTTCTGAATTAACATTTACTTCTCTCATAGGAGGTCAAAATGTATTACGCAGAGCAAATCAAAGATTTAAATGATACCATAGAGGGGGTAGGAATACATTTTAAAGATTATTGTATCTTGTTAGTGGTATTTTTATATGTGCAATCCTTGTCCTGTTTTGATGTCATTGACTTAGGCATATGAAACAACTTGTATTTCCATGACTTTTGCAAGTCTATTATAGCCCAGTCATTTTYATCAGAAACACTATTGTTATTACTCAGGGCGTTGATGAGCTCACAGATGGTGATATTATTTGCTTTCAAAGGTACTTAATGAATAATTGTTGTTCAAGTAATTGTTTTGTTAAGAAATACACATGGCAGGTTCTCACACTTATTGTAATTGCAGCTAATACTTTATTGTCTCTGTTGCAGGGCTGACTTACAATCTAGCACAAATGTAATAGAATACTTCAGGTATGTGTTAATTTATCAAACATTTACTGCATGAAATGGGCTGCCAAAATCTTACTGGTTCTCTGCATATCATGATTGCATACAAACCACTTCATAAAAGTTTTTTTTGCATTCTCTCTCTGCAGAGATTTGCACAACCAAGTAGAAGTCTTATTCTGTGACAAGAATAACCTTCAAGATCCTGGTTTCACTATTGTGCTGTCAAAACGAATGAACTACATGGAGGTACATGGTCTTTAGTTCACTGATATTATGATAACAAACACTAAGTCTGCTGTATGTGTAGGTTGCCAAGGCAGTAGCAGCTCACTTAGAGGTGGATCCTTTGAACATCCAGTTCTTCAAGGTTCAGATGTAAGTGGTTTATCATATTGGGCCTAGCTTTATGTTTTGCAATAATTAATTAACCCCTGTAATACTAGAGCGTTGACAGTATGTTGTTTAAAGCATTTCCGTTTATACATGGATGAAATGACAGTTTTTCACGTCACATTTATTTGCTTTCTCGTCAGCTACCGAGATGCGCCWGGAAATCCCTTACCATGCACTTATGATGGTACACTACGTGATCTCTTGATCTATTACAAGCCACGTGGCCCTAAGAAACTCTACTATCAATGTCTTAGTATTCCAGTAAACCAGTTAGAATTTAAAAGACAGTTCAAGTGCACCTTCCTGGTCAGTGAGACAAGAGAAGAACAGGAACTAGTGCTTTGGCCTAATAAAAATGCTCTTGTGTCAGACCTTCTTGAGGAGGCAGCAGAGCATATGGAGCAATCTGCCAATATTGTAGACAACCTTAGATTACTGGAAATCATCAGTGCTAAGGTTTTTAATACAATTGCACATGATACTCCTCTTGAAGAAATTGTGAATCAGGGACAAAGAAGCTTTAGAATAGAGGTAATTAGTGTTACTCTAACAATTATTGATATACATTACTTTTATTAATGATATTATTATATTTTTTCTGGTTTGATATAAGAGTTAGTGTTTAAGATGCTTGCGTTGATCTTTTAGGAAATCCCAAAAGATCAAAGAAGTTTAAAAACCAATGAGATACTAGTAGGAGTTGCTCACTTTAATAAGGTACAATTTTCAGCTGTGAATTGTGATTGGCATCATAGATACTAGTAATGAAGATTTTTCACAAAGTTCTTGTTGTTTGTCTGTAGGAAATATATCAAACCTTTGGTACACCATTTCTTGTACGGGTTTCAGATGTAAGTACTACCATCTTGTAATCTCAAACCTTTGATTGCTTGTACTGAAGTATACTTGTTGTTTTAGGGTGAGTCCATCTCTAGTCTAAGAGACAGAGTCAAATCAAAATTGGATCTTCAAGACAAAGAGTTTGACAAAGTGAGTGTCATTGATCATTTATTGATTTTACTTGTTAAAATAATGCATATAATAGAAATGGGTTTCTGTGATATTGCTTCATTCTTACTTTCCCTCTACATGTATTTATCAATTTGTTTTATGTTTAGTTTACAAAATTATTCATTTATTCATGTTTTTGTAGGTCAAATTTGCCATAATCAACATGGGGAGAGCAAACTATTTACCAGAAGGTCAGGATATTGACATTGTACATTGTGAATAGTTGGAAATTTAGATATTTATTATTGTTTAATGATTTAATGTTGTTTTTTCATGTTTACAGAAGCAGACCATGTAATTTCTATAAAGGATTTTCAACCACATTTCACATCAAGTAAGTTTGGAATTTACTACTGTAACTCTAAATCGTTGAAACCTTCTGAGATGTATGCATTAATTTTTCAGACACACAGCCAGTTTCCAAGCCTTGGTTAGGACTAGATCATGCTAATAAAGCACCTAAACGATCACGCTATAGCTACCTGGAGCGACCAATCAAAATTCACAATTAACCAGCATTTTTTATAATAACAAATGTGCCATAGTTTTTAACCCAAAAGACCTGCAATTGCATGTGAACTAGACGATGTCTCCCTGTATTTGTCATCCTTTCTTTTATATTATTTATCATGAAATTGTGCTGTTGTCTTAGAAAATTATATAAAAGCAGCAATGACTTGTGAAAGTGAGTTTGTTTCTAAAAGCTAGTTTTACTTTATGCATTTGTAAGTCAAGATGAGGGTGTAATAATACTAAAAATTGCTAAGCACTTTATGATTAAGTGTTTAAACCAACAATAAATATTGACTAAGAAAATAGCTTTGTCTTCTAAGTAAATGCCTTTTCATTGAATGAAATCATTTCGTGGATAATGTCTGACTAGTTTATATCCAAATATCTTATTGTTAAATTGATCATACATTTTTTTATTAAACCCTCTAGTTTTGACTTATAAATCCTGTCCATTCCAATCATCAGTCTTGGTATGTGGAACTACTGCATTCTACAGATCTAAGATAAAATTATTATTATACCAGTATAAATTATCACTCGTCAATGCATAAAATTATACCTTTAATAAAACTTCAGCATCATTCCATATTGTCAACATATAAATGGTAGAAATGATATGTTATAAATTATTCTAGTTGTGTTTGCAACTTCTTGTAATGCAGTTTTATTGTGTTATCAAAAAAAAAACTCTAGCAGTAATACAATGTTTATTTTCATATTGCTGTTTACCCTCTGTACAATAGTTATACACATGACTTTTAAAACAAGGCTTTAAAATGACAAACATGGTAGTGTCAAAATGCAAGAGATGTGTACTGTGTCATTTTTTRAGTGTTCTGTCAGGATGCCATGGCCTTGTTTTGATACTGTTTGTAAAATTGATCATTTTCAATGGTTGCCATGTTGCTTTGGTCCACTTTGATCAGCTTCTTGCATGTGACCATCTTGTTTTCCTTTTTCTAATATTCCATCCAACATATTCATTGGGATAGATTGATCTAGAAAAGATCATATTTTAAGTTCTTACTACTTTATCTTACTGGCTCTCTACTCATGATTGTAAGGGTGAGTGTGGTTTGTCCTTACCAATTTTCTTTGGTGCAGCAAGTCCCAAGGTACTCATGATGAATGTAAAATCTTCCAGGCTATGTGTCAAGCGAGGATTGAACTCTTTTTCCTCTGCAACTGTGGTCACACTCATACCTGAATATAAAGTTGTAGTTTAAAAACAAAATCGAAATCCATATTACACACATTTCAGTTCATTTTCATTTTCTCAAGCTCGTTTCTTTTATTGTAACTACTTCACCTCTGTAGTCATGTCCAGGAAATAGTAGGTAGTCTTCAGGGAGGTTAAAGATCTTGTTGTGAATGGAGTTATATAGAGTTGTGGCATCACCTTACATGATAACAATATAGATATTATAGCATCACCTTACATGATAACAATATAGATACTTTGTTGGATTATTGTATAAATACACTTTTATCACCCTTTCAACCATCTTCACTATTTTGTTAAAGTGTTTGAGTGTAATTGTTGTTGAGTTACCTTGTTGGAAGTCTGTTCTGCCGCATGCTCTGATCAAAAGTGAATCACCTGTAAAGGCTGCTCTTGCACTGTGATCAACAAATGTCATGCAACCTTTAAAATGAACCATAGTTTAGCTGCATTGCTTTGATTGTATGAAAAGAGTTCTCTATGAGCAACAGGTTMTGAGAAATATACTGTACCATGTGTGTGTCCAGGTGTTGCCCTGGCTTCAATTTCCTGGAAAAAATGAACTATCATTAATGAAAATCCGTGAAAGTCAATCATTGGTATAATTGCTGGCCTCCTTTTAAGCACCTCTGCATAATTTCTCATAGGTGAGGGCCCCCCCCTCCCCCCCCCGGTTGGGAAGCAAGGACAAAACAGTCCCATTCCTCCTATTAGTTTAGAATATTTGGATACCAACTTTTCTCGGCCAAGATTATCAATGCGCAGGAAGACCAAAAAGGCAATGGGCGTTTCCATAGTAACTGAGAAATAKATATTATAAGCCTACCTTTTCCCCAAAAGTGAGGATTTCTCCATCTTTGAGATGTACATCTGACTTAGCTTTACTTGCTTCAGAGATGACAGTCTTGCATCCAAGTAGTGCTTTAAGGAATCCGCTACCAGTGATGTGRTCTGCATGTACATGTGTATTGACTGCAAATACCATGCACATGTAATATTAGCAGTTAAATTAACAAAGTTCTTTTGATGTCAGTAGTGAATTATATTGAAGCAATTTCCAAAAGTTTGTCCTAYGAACTSCCATCAATATTTTTACATTCACTAGTAGGTACTGTAGCTTGTACACTGCCATATGTGGAGAAGACAAATAATTACCTGCGTATTCCAGATTGAGTTTTAGTTCCTGGATTAACTTGGCATCTCTAGACACCTTTGTATCAACAGGATCAATAATGATAGCTTTCTTAGTTGCTGCACAGCCAATGATGTAGGTGAACGTGCAAGATTCTCCATCAAATAACTATTATAGACAAAATTATATAATGCATATGAATTAAGCTAATATTCCAGATGTATCCGTTCCATTGTGACAACCTACACTTACACATTTCATAATATTTTTTTAGCCCTCTATAAAAGGAACAGGTCACAAACAAAGCAGGCAGAATGCACACCACATTTTACTAGTTGTTTTTTGAATAACTGAACGCAGGATACAAAAAAAATCGATSCTAAGGAAGAGAGTCGTGATTGAGAAAACTTCAATGCATTCTTGCACTTTTTCGTTTCAAAATCTCTCCCACTCTYAGAATATTTGCTGAAAAACCTTACTTGACGTAATATTAGTCCAGATCGTCTAATCCCAGCCATGACAAGTTAAGAATWAAACCTCTAATTCACAATGCAGAGATTAATAGCAACTGTTGGACCAGCTATGGCTCTGTGTGACGCGGCATGCCTCTTGTCTTCCAAGGTTGCGCAGTCACAGCGTCAAGACATGATCTTCAGCACATCTTATAAAATATCCACAAATTGGGCGAAGAAATTGYATATTCTTCATCAAAAAGGCATAATAATATCATCCCAATATAAATCTTTCGAATCTAGTGTCGTATACATTTTTCTTCTACAATTTTTAAAATGCTAAATCATCGTGACTTTGGTAAACAAATGTACAATTYMATTTCCGGTGAGCAAKCTTTTACTTTCCCGGTAGGAGTGAGTCTTTGGTTGCTCCAAAGGAATCCCGTAAAAATAGGRAATAGCCTGTTTTAGACAAAAMAGTAGATCGGAGTAACGATGCTAAAGTTTTATGCAGTATTTTTTGCAGTCTTGATGAAWATTGTGGGCGTTTGTTGCGATGAATCWGAGCCTMYSACTCCCTCGTCCTATCAAAAGACCATCGCTCAAGGATTTTCAACAAACTGGTTTAAATCGTCAGAGCTGCTAGCAAAATACCACGGCAAAAACATCGAGGATATCTACAAAAGAGGTTTTCGAAATGTTAGACTTAGATCCAGAGCTGACCTGTATTCGGCGCCCTATAACAATACCTCTTTTGAATGGTTTCTTGGCAATCTAACGATCGTTGTTGATAAGTGYCTACAAGTCGGTATAGTACCTATTATTTCATGGATTCACCACCATGCAGAAGCATTTGCAAGTGASAATGATCGCCAGAACTATATAACTTGGTGGAGTAAAGTCGCTAATCACCTCAAAGACAAAGATTACAGACTAAGTTACAATTTATTTACAGAGCTTGGACTGGATGGGTGTGGATCAAACTGCAGCGAAAGCCTTCGCAAGAGGCCCGATAAATACAACAGATGGACTTCTGATGTTGTCAAAGYGATTCGTGCTACTGGAGCAAAAAACGCCAAACGGRTCTTAATCCTWGGTTCCCCRGGAAAAACAGGAAAAGASCTTCACCTTATCAACAAAACAATCTACGAAAACGACCCGTACATAATGGCTGAATGGCATATTTACGCCTCRGGACCAAAYAAGAAAGATGGTGGACAGAAATACTGGAGTGGAGACGGTACWGGTGAGGGGAAGAAAAACGTTAACAAAGCCATCGGATACGCAGTCGAGTATACCAAAAAAAGCAAACTTTTGACATATCTTGGGGCCTGGATGCCTACAGATAATGCAGGGGGCAGCCTAAATCAGGACGAGGTCATCAGTTTTGGCCAGTATTTCGCCAGYCAACTCGGAAAAGAGAATATTCCTTGGTCTCTAAACGTTCTCGATCGTTATTATGACACCAGTAAGAGCCAATGGATTACTGATATGCAGGATGTAGCTGGAAGATCTGTCAATATGTCACTGGTCCTGGATAAAATCAAGGAGGTCTTGGATGGYTCCCATGGTCCTTCACCGTCCCCCACATCACCAAAGAATGGTTCTTCATGGTCACACATGGGAATGTGGCATAAATATTTACCATTTTTTCTGGCAGTTATGTTACATGCATGGCATAGTCTTATATAAACCATTTTAAGAAAGGATGTTCTAAATTTATAGATGGTCTTGCATTACACAGCAGATGTCATGTACATTGGAACGTTTAAAATATATAGATTAGAATATCTAGAAATGTTGATTGTAAAAAAACCGATGAAGCCAAAAAATATAAAAATATGAAAACAAAATAAAATATTTTCACCTGACAGGATTCCTGTCTAATTTTGTGAGAGGTTGCCTGGGTCGAGATGATGTCACAACATGGCGGCTTCCACAACAACAACAATTCAAAGMTGTTTATAATAATTTGTCCAAATTTTTAACTTGTAATGACAGTATTTTAATTCTTTGCTGGTGATTTTAATCCTTGTTTATGTTAAGATGTATAGCTGCACTATAAGCAATCTTAGTAATGAGATTTTAGTCCGAATTTTTAGCTTTCTTTCTGCTCGAGATCTTTGTCGGTGTTCGAAGGTAAGCTTGTTTTCTTCAGTGGATGGTTTSTTRGTTGAGYAATTAACTTACTGTGCGTTGCCTTGTAGGTTTGTTCATCGTGGTGTTGTCTTGCAAACGATTTTCATCTGTATCCTTTYCTCAAACATGATATTAAGATTACTGGAGAGAATCGCTGTAAAGCTTGCTTTACATAAACTAATTTTCAGATTGGCTTGGTTCTTCATTGATAAGCGTCTTTACATGATATCTGAAATCATTTCCATAGTTTTCCTTAACACAAGTTTTAGATGGAAAAATCTTTTCATGAAAAAATTCAATAGATTTGTAACAAACCCAGAATCTTTTTATTCAGCTGTCACTCCATCTCAATGGAAAGAACTTTATATTCTAAAGTCAAATTGGTTTAGTGGACGTTGTCATGTACAAAGTTTACACAAAAAACAGKCCTCACAACATACAGAACCAGCACTAACTAAGGTTATTTGTCTCAAAATATCAAAATGTGGACAGAATCTGTTAAGCAGTGTTAATCTCGACTCTAAAGTGATCAATGTTTGGAGCTTAGTTGAAAAAAGAGGTTTACATGTAGTCAGATGTGAAGGTGTTGTTACTTCATTGGATTTTGGAAGTTTACGATCAAGAAATTTGTTGGCTATTGGAATGAAATGTAACAAAGTGAGTACAACAAGTCTTGCATGTACAGATGGAGTTTTGTAGATAAGGCTGTTTTCTTTTAGTTCTCTACCCTAACATTCTGGAGAGTAACTGTTGATAGTTCATGTAGTAGCAACTCTCCTAGTTGCTTTATGCTGTTTAAACTGGCAAAGCTTTAATTAACTGTTCAAGCATCTTGTAGACTAAGAAAAGTTCCATTTACTCAAAGATTTGATCACCCCCAAGTCAAGACAGTTAAACTGAAATTTTGACCAGACATTGACCCTGACCCTAAGCCTCATAAATGACTAAAGTTTTTCATAGCAATATCATTCTTACTGATTTCAGTTCTGCCTGTGGGATTTCAAAGCTGTTCGATACCTTCTTCATCAAACAAAYATAGACCAAGCTGCTGTAGATAATCTTCCTATATTGAACAATCTAACTACACCTTTAGATATGGATGACTCGGACGTCATGAGAGTCAATCTGGTTGATAACAAACTAGCAACTGTCACTCAAGATTGCATCATTAGGGTGTGGCATCTAGAATTTCATTTTGATGGACAGGCATCATGTCAGTGTTTACATACTTTAACTACTTATAAACCAAGGTACGC